CTCACCTTACACGAAATTGGAGGAATATATCTCATCCTACAAAAATTGACAAGAGATCGCAAAGAAAGCAGGGACCCATTTCAACCAGGAAGCGGGTGAAGGTAAAAGTGAAAGTAAAAGTGAAAGTGAAAGTGAAAGTGAAAGTGAAATGAATGGATCGCAAGGACGGATTGCATTTAAAAAAGAGTCTCATTTAAAATAAGAATGCGTGTTAAAGGCAGCGCAGTGCATTTTTTGAAGGTAACTCAAATATTTGTCGAAAAAATTAAATAATCAGTAGAAAATTAGGATTAATTTAACCAATTATTACAAAATAAACTTTGTCAAATCGAAATATAATTTATACCGAATGCATATGAGAAACAGTAACAATAGTTTCAACACCAATTGTAATCAGCGAATAGACCTTTTCTATAAATGCCAACTTTTCCTAATCGGTGCATGTATAAAATAATGTAAAAATGTTAAATAACTAATATGAGATGCATTCACCCTATTTCGTCTAAGGAGATGAAGAACTGGCAGTCGAGCTGACGTTTCCATTTAAATTTCACATTGCCATGCTTTCCCAAAAGTTGTTTTCCTCCAATCAGGAGTGGACTGCAGTTTTGACCTCGCATTGGTCTTATCAACACCCCGGGCGGGAGTCGAACCGTGACAGTGCGAGATGGAAACTGGAGTCCAATGGGGCCTGGATGAGATCAACTTTTGGGAAAGCGAGGCTATGTGAAATTGAATGGAAACGTCAACTCAAATCATATGATTGTGGGAAAATGGCACCACCAGTCGTTCATCACCTTAAAAGAAATTGGGTGAATACATCTCATACTACTGATTTACTGGTAGCCTCGAAAGTGTACTCGAACAGGAAAAACAAGATATTGCCGTCGCAGCCAAATTCACGCTAACGAGTCACCGAGATTGCTCGACAAACGAACGGTTAGCACGTTTTCACCCAAAGCGACGTAGACTACGTCGGAAACAGCCTCGACACGAATGTTCCAATAGAGCCGTTGAACAGTTGGTCAAGAGCAATCGGATGCTGGTCGTCTTCTGGTCGGATCCAACTTGCAATCGCTTCAGCGCACATTTTCACTCGAAACGGAAGGGAACTCGACAACGAGGACAGAAGAGATTGCTCGAGACCCAAATTTTCTTTGCATAAACAAGCATTTCAATTTGGAGCAGCCTCTTGTAGGACTCGTGAACGAAGCACTCTATGATGCAACCCATGAATTAGTAGAACGTATATTTCTGATCGGGTACTTGTTCCGGCAACGCTCTCATTTAGCAACCGCATCATCTAGGACCTGGGTTCGAGACCCTCGGATGGAGCTTTTGCTCGTCTCTGATCAGCTCAAATAGAGAAGCTCGGTCCCTTTGGTTGGAAACCCGTCGCTTGGGCCCATCGTCTCTTCAAGTCGCCTCGATTGAAGTCCACTTTGAGAAGAACCGATTGGGCTCGAGATCCTCGGCTCCGGCGCCGTCCCTAATCGAGTGTTCTCTCGACTGTAACTGCAGCGAGAGAGCATCTTTAGAAGAGTCGCTTGAACGATTCGTCAATCCACGACAAGACGAGGTTCAAACAAAGCAATACTCTCTCTCTCTCTCTCTCTCTCTCTCTCTCTCTCTCTCTCTCTTTCTCACGTCAAGGTGAGTCGATCTCGAAGGATTTCCCTTCGGGCTGATCGCGTCTCTTCGTCCTCGAAGCGACGGAGGAGAGCTCGACTTGAGCATTGCTGCGGAAAGCGGACGTCTTCCAGCAGATCTTGGCCGGTCGAGCTTGCATCAAAATGAAATGACGAAACCGTCGCCACGACCCGAGCTCGAGTCCCCGCCACGACGCGCTCGAGCCAATGGGAACTCAAGCAGACGCGAGTGCACTCAAACGTGTCACCAGAAGCGGTGCAAGTGGATGGAGACAGTTGAGATGTGCGAAGAAAAGTGGGATTTTGATGCATTTCCGTGGACTACATTTGTTGAGTTCAGGTTCGTTTGGGAGAAAGTTGATGCGATTTCCCGACTTGTCTGTCAAGAAGGCTGCTCTGTTCTGAGAATGTCTCTCATAAAATGGGAAAATGCTTGGCAACCTTCGACTGAAAGTAAAAAAGACGGCCTCGGATGGAGTTGCAAATGAACTTTTTCGTCAATTTGTCGACTTACTTTCAACACCAACTTCACGACCGAAGCATAAGAAGAGACATTTTTGCTTAAAGCATCTTTCGGTTGAAAAGTGGGAAACTCACTTTTATGTCGTGTCAACGGGCGTGTGATGAAAAGACTTGACTGCTCTTGTCCGTTTGTCCAACGACGCTATCGCCACATTCATGTCGACGCTGTTTCCGACGTAATCTACGTCGCTTCCGGTGAAAAGGTGATACGTTTTCATGTGACGAACATCATCAGAGCATCGAGGGTATCATCTCCACGACAAAATTGAAGCTAACAAGTTAAGAAAACTCACCGAAAAATCCCTAAAAAGTGGTACAAATACTTTAAATCTGATCTCTTTGATCAAGCATAAAGTGATTTGGTCAGTTACGGTCAGATGTCAACTTCAGTACATGTGAGTGTGTCTGTTTCTGTATGTTTTTTTTTGACTCGTTAGCTTCAATTTTGTTGCGATGATGATGTTCATCATGTGACGCAGGAAAGCTTAGCACGTTTTCACCGGAAGCGACGGAGATTACGTCGGAAACAGCGTCGACATGAACGTTGCAGTAGAGCCAATCGACAGCTGGTCAAGAGGAATTGGCCGTCGTCTTCTGGCGGAAGCGAGCTTCGAATCTCTTCACCGCCGACACTTTCACTCGAATTGGAAGTAAGCGCAACAACATGACAACCAGACAATACCACATTCGGTAGATTCAGTAATCGTTCGAGCGGGCCATCATTTCTACCAACCATCGCAACTGACGCATCAACAAAACTGGCCGGCTCATGCCGAAATGCTGTACCACAAACGCCAAATCTGGGCATCTCGACGAGGGGTCAAGTGAAGCGATAAACAAAAGTGACCTGCCAATCGAGCTGCATGTGTGGGTTGGTCACGTGTGCGTATGTGTCTTTATGTGTACACAAATGCACCAAATGCAGTGAACGCTCAAACGACTTGGGAAAAAAAGACAACAAAAGACAGCCATTCGTCATCATAATCACATTGCGGCAATCTCGAAGGTCATTTTTTAAAAGGAGCCTCAAGCGCTGAAATCGTTTTTACGAAGCGATTGCCATTTTGGAGGGAATCAGCCAAAACATGGAGCAAAATGGATGTTGTTCAGACATCTCGCGCCAGTATGAACATTGCAGACTGACGCAAAATGGGCAATAAATGTGGGAATCACACGACACGAACCAGTTCAAGTAATCGCCCACATCCTCGTTAACTTCATACTTGCACTTGGATATACAATGCAATAAATGTGTGAATCACACGACAAAAGCGAG